GACTGCAGGTCATAACTTCTTACCTGAAGTTCAGTTCACACTTGGACCGGCGGCCGCCTCGGGTCTCTTTTCCTTCTGCGTCCCCTTTCCTTCATCCACCTGCTGGCCTCCACCGCTTGCTACTGAATCTGTGGAAGCTCCGCGATAGCACCACACGAAGTAACGAGTAACGACCCTATCTAAATCCCAGTAACGAGTAACGACCCTATCTAAATCCCAGTAACGACTAACGCGTTCCTGATTTTGGCATAATAACTAGTTACCGTGCTCGTTACCACAATAATAACGTAGTTACTGTAACGCGTTACTTAATAACGCGTTAGTCCCAACACTGGTTAAGAGATGCAGAAGGATAGATGGTAATGGATTTTGTGAGAGAATGTAAATGACTGTGTAAATGACATTGTACTTTAAGGAGAGAGGGACATAGGGTGACGTATAAGAGTTTAATACATCTTGTGGCAAAAGTGCACTCTGAAAGAGACAGGAGACTCTCCAGGTCCACTTTGAAAAGTGAAGTGAACAAAGGCAGATTAAATGTTGGTGGATGTTGAAGATGAAACAATGTTGCACAGATTTCATTGAGTCTCCAGGTGGTAGACAGGAGTAACCAGATGGCTGGGAAAGTAAAGTTAGTGAGGTAAACTGCCAAGGAAGTGTATCCTCTGGACAGAAGAAAGAAGGGAATGAAACTCGGTGTGGAATGAGGACGTACAGGAAAGTATTCAAAGGAAGAGGTTAGTAATGAAAAGGTTGGATCAGGGATATTGAGAAAGTGCGTGGGACTTGTCTACATCTAACATTAATATGTAATTATTATTCAACAACTTTCAGACATTTTTGAAGACATTTGTTCAAATCTGTATTGCAATATATAATAATACTATTACTTTTTCACATACTACTGATGCTACCGATGCTAATAATACTATTAATAATGATTTAATAATTGTTATTAATAATATTATTATAATTGAAAATTTAAATTTAAAGAGCTCCGCTGTTTTTTGTAGGTATCTGCAGTCAATACATGTAGCTTCACATCCGACACAGGTGGGTAACTGAATTTCATTGTGTAATATTTTCTGTGTTTATGATTCTAGGACATAGATTTAACTGAGGTGATTCATAGTAAGTGAGGTAGAAATGTGAAATGTGACCCTTTGTTGTGTCTTTTATTTCTCTTTTTACTGTTTGATGTGAGACACACCTGATGTTTTGACGCACAGGACTATATATTTAATATTGAATTTGGGTCTGATCTCTGGCTGCAACATTGGACTTCATAGCAGTTCTACGTTTACTGTGTTCAGTAAAAGATGGTTATTTTAATGGTACCAGAATTAACTTTGGTCTGTTTGTTTTCGCAGAGTGTGTCTCTTGAAGAAGCAGCCAGAACAGCAGAAAATGAAGACGTCCATTACAATGAGATCGAGTTCTCGAAGCAGAGGCCTTCTTTAGACTCAGTGCAGGACAGCACACAGCAGCAGGATGTGGTGTATTCACAGGTCAAAGAGTGCAAAACTGAAAAAAGATTAACACAGACAAGTAATCGAGAGTGCGTCTACTCTCAAGTGCAGAAAAAGTGAGAGTGCGGATGTATCTTTGGTTAAACAAACGTTAATACAGAGAAATGTTCTCTTGTAGTAAAATACAAGGAACTGGATCAATATGCTTAAGCTGATAATGTCTGATGGTTGTTAACAGTAGTGAGTAGTGCTCCCACATTGCTCCCACAGTGACTCACATTAGCAGTTTATTTCCAGTAAAATATGTTTGTTCTGTGGAACCCATTTATCATACATACTACATTTTCAGTGCTTCTAAAATGAAGAATTTTAAAATAATAAGCTCAGCATGCAACTAAAAAATAAGCTCCACCTTCTGTATGTATGACCCAAAATGTTGTGTGTTGGGTGGGGAAGTAACATTGGTTTCCTTTGTGGTCACTTAGTTTCTTACATGCGTCACTCTTGTAGTGATCTGTTTCTGTCCACAACTAACTAGGAGAGAAACTACAGTCTTAAACCCTCATTTTTTTGCATTTTTCTATGGTTGACATGAATCATTATTTAGAGATCGTAACATTTTACAATCTAATAAAAAACAACAACTTGTTTTCTGAAGACTTCTGAAATATTTTTTGTGCCATGATTTACACCTGAGTTACATGTTATACAATCAGGCTTTCATAAACTCAGCTCTTAAGTAAATGCATGACTGAAAGAATGAAGATATAAATGCATCGATCTATAAATGAATTTATAAAGTTTAGTAAGTCTAAACTGGGTGAAAAACTGAATGCCAGCTCTTCCTCTACAGTGGGTCTCCAATTAGAGAGATGGACACAAAATAAGAGCTCTTTATTCAACTCAAACTTTAGTAAGTAGTTATAGTTCCAAATAAAGTCAAAGGAGTCTATCTTCTTTTGTTTTAAAAAGTGTATTTTTTTCATGAAGCTTCTTGCTAGTTTGCATCCATCCTTTACTGCCACCTTGTGACAGCAGTTTTCTATTGTCTCTGAACGTAGGCTTAACTGTACTTGACTGCAGGCCATGAATCCTTGTACTGTGGTAGTGTGGTTGAGTCCATCTGAGTAAGTATTTGCCTACAGAGAAGGATTTTCAGTCTGCACGAACGTGCTCCTGTGCTGTCCTCCAAAAACCAAACAAACTGTCCTCCAAAAACCAAACAGCATGTAGCTTTTTAGCATTCATAGGTTGAATGGAGGTTTCTTGACACACGGGCCAGAACAGACCCATCTGCCTTGTTCTGGAGAATCTCTGTGAATTAAAAAAAAAAAGAATGCTTGGACATTGCTAGCATAACGGACAGGTTTTTTGATGGGGCTCCCACATTAACGCGAAGCAGAAGACGAAGCAAGAAAATATAATCAAGTATATCTTGTCTTTGACTTCACCTGCACAAAGGCGGTGCCAAGTTAGGTATTCCCGACAGAATTTGTTTCCCGTGCATCGAGAGCACGCGCAGGGCTGTCCAAATCACGGACAAACAGCATCCCACAGCTGTTTGTGTTTTTAAACCCATTTTGCACAGAGAGGCATTTTTTGAAAAATGTACTGATAGCAATGTTGAATATTATTACACAGTTAAAAAACAAGAATAACAACTACGTATAAAATAATTATACCATAAAGATGTTTTGTTATTTAAAAGAGGTAGCAGTTTATTTTATTGCTACATGTAAGTTATTGTAGTTTACTTGTATGTGTTTACAAAAGGTTTGATGTGTGAAATAAACTGCAGTGGAGTTTGAAAACAAAATATCGGTGTGTTTAGGATGTACTGGGGGGCAGTGCTCCAGGTACACAGGCCCTCCATAACTCCCTTCTTCTCTGCCAGTGAACTGCTAATGGAGAAATAAACTTTTAAGATATTTTCAGGCGAAATTGTAGCTGTATAAACATCAAATATCTCCTCGATTTATCAAGACATCACATATTTCCAAAAGTGCTCCGACGTTTTCGGGGACGTCTGTCACCCACCAGCTTGATAGCAGACCGGGAGGTCGAGGATCACTAGAGCCTGGTTAGAACAGCGGACTCCCGGCACATCATTTTCAAACCCCCCGCGGCCTTTCACTACTCAGGGTTAAACATGATATATAAATAACTTCGATAACTTCTAAATGTTAATGTTTGGCTTATGTGTGTTTGTTGTTGTTCCTGAGTAAATCATTTTGGCTGAGATTAGCTGACTCAGAATTAATTCTAACATTAAAAATATTTTAATTCAGGAGGAAACATTTTCACCGGGAACAATAATACATGTTAATACATGGAGATTCTGAAGGCTGCTTCAAAAATGATCAGATTATATTTTAAATATTTGTTCAGTTCTCTTCCAAACCCCAGCAGCTGTCTGTTGTAAATTTGGAGTGTCTACTAAAATAAAAATAAAAACGTTCTAAGGTCTTACCTGTTTGTTTGTTTTTCAGGCATACATGTACACTAGTTTTATTAATAGAGAGATTTTGCTACTGAGGTTAAACATGATATATAAGTCACTTAGATAACTTCTAAATCTTAATGTTTGGTTTGTTTCAGTGTTTTATTTGTTTCTGAGTAAACTGGTTTGGCTGAGTTTAAAGTTAAGCTTCATAACATAATACCAGTTAAATTACGCAGGGACGGCAGTAAAAACTCCGACCTGTGACATCATCAAGTACACTGGTGTTCCAATTGTACAAATCGCGAGTCCGTACTCACATTCTTGGCAAGTGAAAATTGAGAAAGGGAATCTGTTTCCTGGTTCCCATTATGCTCTCTGTGTGTCATTTCCTATTAGTAGTTAGCTTTAGCATTAGCATTAGCCTAAGGCTACTTTAGAAACATGTTTAATCAAAATTGAATAAACTTTAAGACTTTCAAAGAATGTGGAGATTTAGATTTTCCATTTTTACTGTACAGTACAAAAGTGTGTGTGTGTTCTAGTTACATAATCTATTACAAAATCTTTTCACATAATGACATAAATTTTAATAGACCCTGTGCACAAGAAAATGCTAACTTCCTGGTTTGAGACCGGATGTAGGGTTGTACATTTCCGGTAGCTTTACTTTGCGGTCAATCGCTACTGCGAAGATATACTCCAAAATCATGTCCAAAACTCGAAAACGGAAAGATCGCGTTAAGTTACAAAGAGCAGAAGGTGGGAACACTCACCACTGCTGTGTCATAAAAAATCTAATGATCAATTTTGACGTTTAAAGCGTTTAGATCGATCAGTTGTTTACATCACTCAACACAAGCAGAACTGCATTACTGCATGCAGAAGACACATCGTCCACATTCAGAAGCACATCTCTGTATAGTGACTGGTCTTATGATTTAAACAGGCAAATGTTCAGCATTCAAACTACAGGTGAAGAAAAGTCAAACCAGATGTTTCCCCGTTATGTCGATATCAGCTAGTCAAGTACACACCTACACAGCATGTTAACAAACCGTGAAAAAAGCCACACAAAAAATGAATGATTGCTGGTAAGGGTTTCTATACATTAGTATTTACGAAGGGTATGTTGTGACTTACCTTCAAAATTACAGCGGTCCCTCGCTATAACGCGGTTCACCTTTCACCTCGCTGTTTCGCAGATTTTTTAGTGCAAGTTTGCATGCTTTTTTTGTTTTTACATCACATTGTCCTGCGTCCTGATCGCTGCTGACGATCTCCTCCGTGACGTGTCTCCTGTACAGTACAGAATCGCTGCATCGATCGCTAGCACTGTGTTGAGCTCGAAGAGTTTTCTTCTTCTTCGGCCATGTTCTCTTAATAATGCACACACTTGGTGGTTGATTACTTTTCCCGTTTCTTTTATTGTTAGCAACACAGGAGGGAAAACCATACATTACTTCAGCAGTTCGCGCTTCGGAACAACAGGAACAGGAAGTGACGTAATCTATAATCACCAAAATAAAATCCTTTTCAAAATAAAATGACAATCAGAAAACGTCTTTCACAACATAAAATAAATTAATATATTTACTCATGAGAACACAAATCTAACACCCCCCTTTGTTCTCATGCTGTTAACCCATAGCATCTTATGCATTTCCAAAGTACCATTTTTGAAACTTTCTGAGTCTCACTCTTGTAACTGGTTTTGTTAGTATGTCTGCAGCCATTTCTTCTGATGGACAGTGTTCAATGCAGATTTTCCTTTCATTTACCGCTTCACGAATGAAGTGATATTTCACATCAATATGCTTTGACCTCTGTCTGTTCACTGGGTTTTTACTCAAGGCAATGGCCCCTTGGTTGTCCCCAAACAGTTTAGTACATGTGTACCTTTTTCTGTCCATGCCGTTTAACAGTTGGGTTAAGTACATGCTTTCCTGAGTAGTGGTTGCAAGACCAATGTATTCAGCTTCACATGTTGAGAGTGCCACTGTAGGATGTTTCTTTGTTTTCCAAGATATTACAGGTCCCTCTTTAGTAAGTGCAAAACAGTAGCCTGTTGTACTGCGTCTGTCTTTGACAGAGCATGCCCAGTCAGAGTCACTGTAAGCAATTAGATCTAGATCCTCACTGCTTTTCTTAAAGATCAGTTCGAAGTCGTTTGTGCCTTTTAGGTATCTGAGGACTTGTTTTGCCGTTACTAAGTCCTCTCTCGTGGGTTGAGCTAGTGTTTGAGATAGTCTGCTAACAACCCAGCTTATATCTGGTCTCGTACACGTCATGGCATATATCAAACTGCCCACTATTTCTCTGTACTCTCTTGAGTTAGCAGTCTCATTTGCATCATTTCCTCCACATGTAGTAGTGTCCGTTTTTAGTTCACACGGTGTGGATCTGGGTTTGCATTCAGACATCCCAAAGTGTTCCAACATTCTTTGAATGTACCTCTTCTGATTCATCCTGATTTCACTCTCTTTTTGTATAAACTGTATCCCAAGAAAACTGGATATTTTCCCCAGGTCTTTCATGTTAAACTTTGACCTCATTGTTTCTTTGAATGTGTTTAACAAGTTAGTATTGCTGGCTGCAATGATCAAGTCATCTACCCAGATGATAACCAGTAGAGTTTCGTGTCCAATGTCCTTTCTGTATACACAGTGATCAGAAAGGT